AAAATGTCAATTTGACAGTGTGACGCATCACATTTAGCTGACGTATACACTCAGCTGTATCGATTAGACAGTAGACCGTGAGCCTTGATGACGTCATTACTATTCTTTATTGATATTCAGCAGCGACATACACTTGCAAATGATCCACCTGGTGACTGTACATTCTACATCAATACCAAGAGCCTGTAAAATTTATTTTACAAAAATCAATGAGACTTCGTAGAGAGGTTTTCCAACTCAGCTCGTAATGAAAGCTTTTAACCAATCATATCTCTGTGAACAAACACTTGGATAACAGTATGATGCTGACTAACGACTAGCTTTATTTAGACAGGCAGTAAGTTACCTGGTTCTTATTGCGAATGTGTGACTAGTGGAGCTACAACATTTCACGTGGGAGGACAAATACTCGTGACAGGTGAAACTGACTAGTACCAGTCAAACTATGATAGAAGCTGTTAATATATGTGAAACTTGGGCACTGTGGTAGAAAGTAATTCCATATTAGTTTGTTTATTAGATGTATCACACAGTGAAACAGTATTATTTACTGGATGACGAGGTTTCGAACACAATTTATTGTTCGTAATCATATCAATTTCAAAGTCGTGTGATCAAAAATTATATGATTAAGAACAATAAATTGTGTTCGAAACCTCGTCATCCAGTAAATAATACTGTTTCACTGTGTGATACATCTAATAAACAAACTAATATTGAATGATGGAAGCTGGAATTCATGGAGTGGATACTGACTTGGGTTTCAGTTGTTGGATGGTCTACGAGGTCAACTTAGGTTCAAACTTTGGTGATGGGTGCGCGCTGATGAAAAGTCCCGAACCAGAGTGACGAAACAATTGTCAAATATTTCCTGGTTGGTTCACCAATGGTTCTCGAACTGTGTCAACTTTTAAAATCCCGTAATCAGGTTATTGTTTGCGAAGTAGGCCTTAACTTAAATCGATTTCAGCCTGAAATCATAATGAATCACAGGATACTCAAGCAACATATGCGTGATCATGAACGAAAAAACAATTCTTTCACTATGGAACATTACTGATACAAATCACAGGCACACCACTGTATTTGTAGTTCCTGTTTATTGATCATAATTCGCAGTGAGAAGCAAAATGTGCAAATCGTATGACTTATCTGTCGAATTTTGTTTGATTGCATGGAGGATTTCAAAATGAGCTGACATCAATAAGAGAACCACTGGAAAACCTGGGAGTATTGGACAGCTGTTTCGTCCTAGTTTGGGACTCTTCGGCAGTACGCAAAAACCAACAGGGTTCGAACCCAGAACCCTCTGGTTACAAGACTAGTGAGCTCGTAGACCATTCAGCCACTGTGACCCGATCCAATGATCCTTGAATTCTAACTTCTAATGATTCACAACATAGCGCGACCACTTTGCAATGTCTTCTTTGATGAGTTACTGCCTCATCTTCAACCTGCCGTACCCTACTGGTCACAGCTTCCCACTAGAACCCAAGTTAACTGCCTGAATAGGGCCAGTCTTTAGTTAGCGAGTGCGTACTGCTGAAGAGTCCCAAACTAGGGCGAAACAGCTGTCCAGTACCTCCAGGTTTTCCAGTGGTTCTCTAACTGATGTCAACTCATGGTGAAATCCTCCATGTTATCTGTAGTAGTCTTGTACCGAATATCACGAAAATACTCAAGTGTTCATCGATCCTAACACGGATATCATGAATACAGATTTGATCACAGACAGAAATGAGAAACGTAACAGTCATCAAAGACCTAGTTCGACCTAGTTCGCGACTCTTCAGCATTTGAATTAATCCAAATAATCAATAGAAACCCATAATCTAAATATTGATCACCTACTCACTGATGGCTATTGGATGAATATCCTGAAGGTGTACCGAAAAGTCTTGACCAGTGGACTTATCCATGTCAAGAAGAACTGGATGCTCACCGATGTTACTGACTGAGGGTAATTTTATATCATGAGAATTGACAAGGATGGATTTCACGGAACACTCAATTCTAATCCAAACGCCTGAATAGTTGACCAACTTGAGGACGTAACCAGAAGTCCCTAGATTGGATCTCCGGACACCCCATGGTGAGTACTCCTGAAAAGAACTAAACTGGAGCAAAACAACTGTTATGTGCTGGCTAGTTTCCAATGATTACTCTAACTTATGCTATTACTTTCTGGCGAAATCTGTATTGAAACTGGTCTGACTTTAAAAGACATTTACCTTGCGAAAATAAAAGGCAGCCCTTTATTAAACAGTTACTGAGTGGGAACAATTACCCAGGAATATGAGAATATGAATTAAGGAGTGCCAAATAACAAAATATTCCGTAAAATGCCTTATTCTTACAACTTCACTTCTTCAGGGATAACAACAGGGAAATATTTACACAACATATAAGGAATATGGCGGTAAAAAGAGCATTCAGTGCAGCTGAAGAATGCTGTGTCTTGAAAACAACGCGTAGTTTGCGTTTGGGAGTTAGAGATAAACTACTCAATTTCGCCACCTCATTGTGTATCTACCAATTCGACTGCTCCTGTGGAGGCAGTCAGTTACATAGGCCGTACGATTAGGTGTGCTTATTAACGGATTTCTGAACACCATTTACTACAAATAGCTGAGGCTGCTGGGATCTGCATTAGGAAACGTGAATAATGTATCCAAAAGAAGTTGGTACAGACACTGGCCTTACCTTAGTCATCAAGATGTTAATGGTCCCCAATTTATTGTGGTAACTTCCTTAATTTCATTCGATATTCTATTCCACGCTAAATTTTTATGCTTACTGTAACTTAAGCGTCTTTCTTGAACTGTAATTACATTAAATCTAACAAACCGATATTATTTAAAAAACACTAATATTGTTAATGACGATAACTCTAGAATATTATGTCTATATAAATATACATATATATATATATATATATATATACATAATTGTAGAGCCAATAGAAGGGGAACTTCTCAAAAAATAATATTCTTTGCTCAATTTGCTCCTGATAATCGAGAATTTAACTAACACTGATACGCGCACAAAACACTGAGATGCTGCAGTTTGCGAGCATTTAAAATAATAAGAAATTGTACATATCAAACTGCAATACATATTAGTTAAATCGATGCAGTCTATCTATCTAAACACCGGGATGACATTTCACACACTTCTGGAGGTTCTAAGTTTACAGAAAGGAATCCTTCGCCCTCAAACCATCTAACCTGTGGCTAGTTGATTGAGTTTGCATAAACATTTGAAAGTTAAAACGCCCATGCTTCACTCCTAGTGAGATCTGGGTTTCGATTTTCGGTCGACACACTGTCAAACCTTCTAATAGTCAGTAATAAACCCGATGAAGTGAGGAGGTTAGGCGGGAGGCTTGCAACTCCATCTCAAACGAACATCTCAACAGGATGACACTGAGATGTCAAAGCTTGAAAACTTATCTTTTTCCTAAAACTCAAGGCATGACAAAAGAGACTAGATCTACCAGATGATAGAATAAATGAAATTACGTAATTTAAAAATTATATAGTTCAAAATATTCAGGTCGGAAAGCTGACCGATCTACTTCATACCATAAATAGAGCCGTTCCCGAAGGAGACACATACGGTTGGTTAACCATATATGTCACACAAGCTATCAGAAAATGGAATCCGAATGGGAGACGGCGAAACAGGCACTGGTGTTACAATGACATAAAGGTGATCGTATTAACTAAGGGAAGATTGAAGCCTAATTGTTATCATGAGTTAAATTCACATGTACTACTGAAGACCTATGTTCTAGTCAGAACCACAGGGAATCATTTTATCAAATATCGCAGTTATTAAATGGTTCAAGGCAATCGTCAGGATGCCACTGGCTTACCTAGGTTTCATGCCTGTTGACTGATTGTCACCAATCAATCAAGAAACTTAAAGCACTAATATCTCCCCCACACTAAGGTTTGAATCCACGTCTGTAATTGCCGCCCATTAGTAAGAGACATGTTGGTGAACATAGATAAGATGGAGGTTATGAAAATAACCAACCAACAATAACAGCAGTTACATCCAGCGCCAATCATTATCAACGGGAGGGATTTGAAAAAGGGTTACTTCATTCACTTATCATTTAGGGAGCATTGTCTCAACTACAGGCACTTGGAATGGACGAGGATGACAGATCAAGAATCAGGGGGGGGGAGAAACATATTCATCATCACTGAGCATCAACAACAAAATTCGGATCTTCAAAACAGACGTCAGTTCATGTATACCAATAAGAAACTTGGCAGGCGGGTCACAAAGAATATTTCAAACAGCCTGTTACAGACGTTACCTTTATCAACGACTGTCGACTATCACTCTATACTGAATATCAGATGAGCGGGTCGGAAAGAATCACCAACAACAAGAAACTATGGGAAGAAACAAACAAAACAAGAACCAATCGCCAACCAACAAATATGCAGGAGAAAGTGGAGATGACACATTGGACACTCGCTGAGGAACCCGAAAGGGAAGCGGCAATTGGGACGTCAGTACAAGGATGACATGGAGGAGATCGTGTGAAGAGAAGGAGTTGAAACAGTATGGACTAACTAACATGGATGCAGGTGAAAAGTAGAGCAGAAGACAGACGCAAGTGAAGACGTTCAGCTGAAGCCCTATGTTCCACTAGGAACCCAAAGGAACAATAATAATATGTAAGAGACATGTTACCAATGTCCTCCTGTAGGACTGACTTGCATTATGCGTGCAGAAATGTGGCTAACAGGTGATACACTTTGAATTATTGTTAGATTAGATAGTTGAAGGAAAATCGTCACTAAACAAAGAACTATACTGTCATTAACTTTCTATTTATTCTCTTGGCTGCTCTTCATAATATCAAATAAATCACTTGTCATCATGAAATAAACATCACAATAGATATTTTTTTTTGAAAAAAAACACAGAGTTTTACATAAAAATAGAACAAACAAAGATTAACAATTCAGAAAATTTACCTAATCACATACACAATGGAGAATTGTTTCACGGAGTCCAGGAATAAAATACTGTGACCGTTGTACTTAGCGTACATATATATATATATATATATATATATATATATATATATGTTTGTCACGAGTTCAATAAGCCTCTGCTCCATTAGAGATAGATAGATAGATAGAGAGAGAGAGAGACTAATCTAATTAGTGTGATACACAGATCATTTACGCATGATTATGGATCATTATTTTCAAGATATTTAGTGCTCTCTATGTGTAATAATAGTAGTGTATACATACCACTACATCAATACGTAGACAAATAGCTATGCACATTACTGTCAGTCACATACTAAGCTGCAAGTTGACCTATGCGTTGACTTTGAACATAAATAACTCGCATACTTTTGAATAATACGACTAATTAAACGGTCAAACAAACACAATAAACATCAAGTGAATATGTATATATTTTTTAAACAAAGTGCAATTGAAGATTGAAAATAAAATAGACAGAATGGTTTTATTTTTAGTTGTATTGGTCAAAATGTGAACGGATGTTGATTTTCATTTAAAAATAATAATAATAATTTTTTTACAAGATGATCATGGATTGATATCACTTGTTAGAGAACCATTGAAGTACCAGGAAGTACTGGAGCCTAGAGTTTGGGAATCATCGTCAGTACACTGATAGAAAATTAATCTGATGTTTGGTAGGGATTTGCTACAGGATGGAGTTTTGCTGGAGTTCTAGTGAGAAGTCGTGACCGGTCGGGTTAATTGAGATGTCACGTGTTAGGATGGATGTCCTGCGGATGACATTGGTTGTTGCCAGTTGCACTAAATCAAGAATTGGTAGAAGTTAGAATTCATGGCCCGGCCACTGAATTGGATCCCAGCAAGTGAGTGGTCTACCAGCTAGCTTGTGTTGTAACAAGAAGGTCCTGGGTTCGAACCCTGATGGAGAGTACATACTGCTGATGATTATAAAACTAGGCTGATGAAACAGCTGTCCAGTACTCCCTGGTGGGTTTTCAATGGTCCTCTGACTGATATCAATTCGTGGTCAAAATTGTAAAAGCAAAATTAACCCTTACAAACCAACTATAGATAATCTTTCTAAATGTGTCTACAAAATAAAACGCTTGGAATGTGATGCGGTATACATCGGACAAACATCGCGAGAAATCAAAATCAAAAGAAGAGTATCTGTTCGACCACTGAGAAATCCGGTTGACTAGAAAAGCTAGAAAAATTATCAGCCATAGCTCGTCTACATGCAATAGAATCAGGCCACAAAATTGATTTTGACAATATTGAAATCATCATCCAGAAAAACTTCAAGAATCACAAAGAACGTCTTATATCAGAAGCACTCCATATCAAGTGGAATCCAAATTTTCTGAATAGGAATGATGGACTTAAACAGAATCTGACCTGGTTACAACACCCCCTCCCCCATGAAGTAGCAAAATCAACACAAATGTGATAAGCAATATCATTATATAAACAAACACTGCTTTATAATTTTACACACTTATCAAATCCAAAAGTCTACACACTTGGTGTTGTTATCTTTACCAAGTGGCCAACTTGACAACGAAAAATGACTCCAGACAGATGAACAATGATTAAGTTAGTAAACTTTGTTTTGATACTATAATATTTGGTTTAGTGATCTTCATTGCCATTTTGACTTTCAATATGTCCCTTTAACTTGACCAAAGTCTATTTTCTCACCTCTTAACTCTTTCTTACATATATTCTGAGATTTTGTAAATTCCGGTTTAACAATACTACTTTGATAAAGCTATTAGCATTAAATAGTGAAACGTCAGTGAAAACAACAATATCGTTTTGTTTTTCATTCATTGGGAAATACAAAAACCTTTATTATAATATATAATAGATGAAATTTTTTAATTAAAGTTTTAGATCCAGACAGCTAAGTAACAATGTTATAGTTCTAATATTTTTCAAATGCGTGTAAAACCTGTCTTATTCATACAATCAATATTGCTAATATTATTCTTCCCTTGGGTTACTAATAGAACATTGGGAGGTTCAACAGTATATGTGCATTTCATCACCACAATCTATGAAGCCTTTTTTATAGATGAGGTCTTGATTTCTCATAAGATTCTACATTCCATCAGCTTACACACTCTCCTCCATGCTATTCATGGGTTCACACCAAATCATTGTTTCACATTCAGATCCCATTTTCTGATGACCTACCTGGTACATGAGGTGGATAAACAGTCTCTTCTTTTCGTCCCTGCCTCATTCAGGTACACTTACTTTTGATAAGAATATATATTCAGCTTTCAAAGGGAAAGGTGATGAATATTTCCTTCGAATTAGTGAATAATTTTCAAATTGTGTAACGTGTAATTCAATGAATTAAGAGCAAGTCAAAAGTTTCTTCGCATTGCTCAATTTTTGGGTAGAACAGAAGGCTTGAGGCTATGCAACTTCAATACACATAATGTTGTGTTTTTCCTGCCTCTTCAGGATTTAGGACCAACTAAGTGAGCTTAAGTCGTATGTCAGCAGAGAACAGAGCTCAGGACGATATCCACTAGGGCGTTTATCAGTGTCTTGCTGCGCAATCATTGACGTTAGCTGAAGAAGGGCTATCAACAATTCAGGAGGTATGAAATAATTTCACACTCTGAACTAAATTAAATCGGCTATACATACCGGTTATAAGATTTTCATACATTTATTCCCTTTAATTGAATTTCAATAAACAAAAAACAACAGGGGTTTGTGTAGAATAAAATGATACCATCATTGTTTATTTCGTTGTATTCTCATTGGCTGCTTATAGGCCAGAGTCATTATTAAGTATGTTTACAGAAACGATTTTAACACAGTTCACAGAGTCCATTTTAAACAAAAACCAATCAATATATGAATACAGTAATTATATTTACATATATATATATATATATATGTATATATATATATATATATATATATATATCAACCAAACCTTTGTACCAAACAGTAATGATTATACACAATGGAAACTTTAGACAGAGAGAGGGTGAAAATATCCACTTACTAGGCAGGTCGGGCAAGGAAAGACTGATAACCTCTCCTTTTTTGGACACGAATGCATAAATCTGGTTTCAGGCACTTTATGTTTCAGGCACTTCAACAAAACCATGAGAAGAATTGAACTAACTCTTTTGCCTATTGATAATTTTGAACGATCTTGTGACGTTCATCTAATGGCACGCGTCAAGCAGATGCCTGGCAATGACATTATTGTAAAGCATCTATCCCTTTTAAGACAAAGGCTTTTTTGTACATATTCAGAAATTCTTTGGTGTGCCCTTCTTCGTTCCTTTCTTCCAATTTAACTGCTCCCTCAGATACATGTTATTTTTGTATACGCATTTGGAGTTAAAATCAGCATCTGTCAATATTTGATTGCAGCAAAGAACAAGTTGTTCAACAGATGGGAACCATGAGATTTTCCATGCACAATCGAAATGATCTGACAGTGTTAAGACAGGTCTATTCAATTTAGCTAAAAAGTAATACTGTTTGGTATGAATAATTTCTTACTAATCATAGCAACTAATTTGCTCACATAAACTGTGCCACATCAGTGTTTTATGCGTATTAGAGTTGGTTAAATTCTGGATTTTTTTTTTTAGGAATAAGGCTCTGTCTAAATGTAGAATTCATCAAGAGGTAATAACATCATGTAGAGAGAGAGAGAGAGATGTATAAAAACCACAGTGTGCTAGACATTTGTGTGGTCCTAGGATGTGAATTTTTAGCCACAATACCAATAGGAAGAAATGGAAGTGATTCTAAAGTGTGCCAGCTCAAAAAGCCTAACTACCAATTAACAACAACAAATCACAGACCTCCATTGATCTGTCAGATCAATTCTAAGTAAAAGTGCCTTATTTGAAAAAAACACGTTTATATAATAGTAATGCGATGGCGATAAATAGTTTCATAAGAGAACGTTCTTGTATGTGTTCCGACAGAACCTTCCAGTTTCTTATTAGAATTCTCATAATTAGGTTAAACCAATTAATATATATACATGAATTCATCAAGACAACTATAAATCATCGTGTTCCTTAACCAATTCACTTTTCTGATCCTCTGTTTAGTCGGCTTTAGAAAATTTCGATGGAATTTGTGTGAGTCCAAATGAAAGGATTAACGATTTCGTCCGTATGATTGACTACCTTAGGAATGTAGCCCAAGGATGAGGGCTAGCTGTAGCTACCTCATTGGTCTGTAGGAATCGTTGCGTTGGGTAGGTCTTTACGTTGGATAATGAGTAATAAAACATTGCCACTAAGAGTCGGGATCATGTAGATATCTCCTTTCCATAGGTTGGTGTGGTGTCATATAATTCCAAAAACCACTGTTCCCGCCCCCTCTTCCTATGAGTTTATAATTCAAACAGTACTCAAATACTAGATATGGATGAAATTCGTTACGTCATTCGTGTATAGCATCCATATTTGCGCCTATGTAATATGAATTCATCTGATCGGTTATTCAAGGTCATACATTTTATTTATTTATTATTTTTGATTACAGATTGATTCCGCACTGTATTTTTGGTACAAGTATGGAATTTTCAGTATGTGATATCGGTAGCCCAAATTCTGCAGGCCGACCATAGACATCAGATGTGCGTCGGCAGGGGGTCGAACCTCGGACGATGTGCATGGTCGGTGAGAGTCTTAACCACTATGCTAACGGCGCACAGTGTTATATACACCTAGTTTTGTTCAATTTAGCATAAAACTTTCAAATGACTGTTTAAGGAGTTATCGCGCACTGGCGTCAGCTCCCTGTTTAGACTACTGGATTTCTACTGGCTGATCATACTTGTAATGCACCACTGAATCACTGCATGTTCAAGGTCACTCCAAGTGTATTTGTGCAGAGTGTAAGCTCTGGAATAAATTACCATCGACATGTTTTAGCTGTCATCCTAGAATTTGGTACAGATATGTTGTAGATGGCAAATTTATCATCATGAAGAAAGCTAAAAAATAAAACTTGCTAACAGAGATTAACTTAATCTAAAAATGCTTAGAGC